TAATGAGAGCTGATTTTCTTTTTATGCCATGCCTCCGGGACAAGACATGGCGAATAGAGAGACAGTGCTGTTTTCCTTTTTTTAAAAATTGTATTCATGTTTTATATGCTCTTAACATTTTTCTTTTTTTTTTTTCCTGATCCCCCCCGTAGTCTACGACAAAGCCTACGCAGAATTCCAGAGACTCAAGTAAGATAACCAGTGCATCAGACCACCACATGGCTTTCCACGTCCTAAATGTTTAGAAATGCAAAGCATGTGAGCTGTACATCAGTGTTTGGGTAAAATATTAATGTCTGCTAATGAACTCAACATTGCTATTCTTCTTTTGCCCTTCAGAGCGGAAGCATATGCTGAAAAGAGTGAGTATACTCAATCACTCCTGACACTCTCGGGGGTCCTGCTTTGATATGTAATTATATTCCTAAAATTAACTTTGTGATGTTTTCATTGTCAGATCGTGGCAAAGTGGTTGGTGGTCTTCCTGATGTTGTGACTATCATGGAAAAGAAGGTTTGTTTAAGCTTGTTATGTGCGAGCCATAACGTAGTGAAAAATAGATCACAATGCATAAAGAAATTGAATTTTCTGATCTGACTTCTCATGAAAATCATGTCGAAAAGACCGCAATATATATATATATATATATATTTACTAACAATATGTATATATAACACTATTTATAACACTAACAAATTAAAACCACAGAGCAACGCAAATAAGAATAGAAATTATGTTCTGACCAAAAAAATATTACCAAATCTAATATTTCAGCTTCTTCAAAGTCATCACCCTTTGTCTAGATTCCAGCTCTGCTTATTCTGGACGTTCTCTAACTGAAGGTGGAATTCTTTTTAAACAAATTTCGCAAAGTTCACATGTATGCTGGACATTTGTTGGCTGCTTCTCCCTCACTATCTGCTCCAACTCATCCAATAAAAACGGGTTTGTGAAGTTGGCACAATTTATATTTGTCTATAAACCTAATTTCAGGAATTTAGGCAAAAGCCTTTAGATCAAAAGGTTTTTAAGATCATAAGAAACTAATTCAGCTAAGTGTGTCCAAACTTTTACTCCGCCTAACGGTGTATCCAATCTTGGCTTGAGGTTAGCGTGGTACTATAGCTTACTGACCTTGTCTATCTGAAGTTGCAACCAATCTTTCAACTGCAATGTTTTGACCACACCAGTAAAGCTGGTAAACTCAGTAAACCCAGGCATTTTTGCATTACGGAATAGCCTGAAATGGACTTTTTACATAAAGCAAACTGAAATAACTACTAATTAACTACTAACTAATTAGTCCCGTAGACTTCCGGTGAATTACGAAGACCCATAGACTTCCGGTGACTTACGAAGACCCATAGA